GCTTTAATCAATGATTTTCTAAAAATACATAATATGTCATTTAAAAAGGCTTATACGTTTTTACCTGTTTACATTCATATATGTGACCCTGGACCACAAAACCAGTCTTAAGTGTCAATTTTTCAAAATGTATGCACCAAGCTGAATAAATAAGCTTTCCACTGATGTATGGTTTGTTTATGATAGGACAATATTTGGCCGAGATGCAGCTATTTTAAAATCTGGAATCTGAGGGTGCAAAAAAAAAATCCAAATATTGAGAAAATCGCCTTTAAAGTTGTCCAAATGAAGTCCTTAGCAATGCATATTACTAATCAAAAATTAAGTTTTGATATATTTACAGTAGGAAATTTACAAAATATCTTCATGGAACATGATCTTTACTTAATATCCTAATGATTTTGGCATAAAATAAAAATCGATAATTTTGACCCATACAATGTATTTTTGGCTATTGCTACAAATATACCCCAGCGACGTAAGACTGCTTTTGTGGTCCAGGGTTACATATGCGGATATTACAATACAGCAGTTGTACAATGCTACACACAGAAAATCCACTGTGAACGAAGAGAGTGCTCAGTGTAAACACAGGGAAATGGATCTCTTCCCTAACCACTATCATTCTGTTCATGAATGAATGACTGCAGAGATATACAACATTAAAGACAATGTCAAACATTCACGACCTCAAGGTCAGCCTCAACCATAGGGGCGTTGCAGTTCGAGGTACAAAGGTAGCTTTCTGTAAGAGCAACACCTGCAGGACTCCAGTTACAGAGAAACAAGGAAATGGAAAAATGAGCAACTGAACAACTCTGGGCTAACTGTGCACTGACGACGATCTCTGCCATGGGGAGCAGTGTAACCAAAACAATGAATAAGTGAGTAGCCAAACATTTGAATGTTTAAATTGTTTTAAACATACTGGACATGGTTTACAGTGTTTTTCTATTCAAATGTGACAGGGTTCTATGACATGTGCTTGTTCTATAGCAGTAGGATCTTGATGGGGAGGATAGTGCCTTAAACTAGATTCATTTGTGTTACTAAATGCTGTTCTGTTCACTATTTAACGCAAACTTGACCTTTTAAGTAGGCCATTCTTTGAGAAACATTGATCCTCTGTGTCTGTTCACATTTGATAGTTTAAATAATTAACAATGCTGTTAAATTGGTTAAAGGCAAGAAAAGCCAATCCAGATACAAGAAGGTGTTCATAAGGTGTTGCACTGTTCAGAAAAGAGAGCAATGAATTGTATTAGCATTTAACAGGACAAAAGAGTATAGGAAGTTAAAGATACTTCCTCTTAACCCTTATAAGAAGAAGTAGTTGCATATTACTTTGAAAGAATGTACTTCAGTGCATACTGATTGTTTTCAGATGCTTCATTTCATGTTATTTATAATTAATTGAAAATGTATTATAGTTTAGGTTCATATTAAATGCTATCAGTTGAACTTAAAAATGTTTTTTGACCCACTTAAGTGGGACTTTAGTGCATCTTTATATGTAATTTCATAATTACGTAATTTGTCTTTTTGTCGAATGTACTGACAAACATTTATGGTAAACTAAATGTATACTAAAATGTCCTGTATTTAAATATACAGTATATATAATTACACATTTAAAATGATGAAGTTGCAGTTTAGTAACTTTAAATGTAAAATCGAATAAAACCCAACAGTTAAAATAATCAAGTATGCTACATGCATTTAGCATGTAAGTCAAATCAAAATAAGTGTACTTAAAGCATGACAAGATTATTAAAACATAATAATTTAAAATAAAACTTTTAAATTGACTTTATAACAAAAGTTCACTTTTTAAAAGTGTACTTAGGTGCGTCATGAAAGTGTACTCTCTTTAAGTACATTCAAGTGGCCTTTTATTTCATTCATATTTTATTTAAAAAATATACTTTTAAGATTTGAAGTGTACATTCAATACAGTTAAGTGCAGTTCTTTTTCACAAAGGATAAGTCTGTCAATGATCAACTTCATTTAGGGAACTACACACTACAGAACAAATAAACCAAATTTATATTTAAATTGTATGTTTGTTTGTTTCTTAGATGGGGAATAAATCCAAGAAAACTTTCACTGAGCAATGAATTGTATTAGCATTTAACAGGACAAAAGAGTATAGGAAGTTAAAGATACTTCCTCTTAACCCTTATAAGAAGAAGTAGTTGCATATTACTTTGAAAGAATGTACTTAAGTGCATACTGATTGTTTTCAGATGCTTCATTTCTTGTTATTTATAATTAATTGAAAATGTATTATAGTTTAGGTTCATATTAAATGCTATCAGTTGAACTTAAAAATGTTTTTTGACCCACTTAAGTGGGACTTTAGAGCATCTTTATATGTAATTTCATAATTACGTAATTTGTCTTTTTGTCGAATGTACTGACAAACATTTATGGTAAACTAAATGTATACTAAAATGTCCTATATTTAAATATACAGTATATATAATTACACATTTAAAATGATGAAGTTGCAGTTTAGTAACTTTAAATGTAAAATCGAATAAAACCCAACAGTTAAAATAATCAAGTATGCTACATGCATTTAGCATGTAAGTCAAATCAAAATAAGTGTACTTAAAGCATGACAAGATTATTAAAACATAATAATTTAAAATAAAACTTTTAAATTGACTTTATAACAAAAGTTCACTTTTTAAAAGTGTACTTAGGTGCGTCATGAAAGTGTACTCTCTTTAAGTACATTCAAGTGGCCTTTTATTTCATTCATATTTTATTTAAAAAATATACTTTTAAGATTTGAAGTGTACATTCAATACAGTTAAGTGCAGTTCTTTTTCACAAAGGATAAGTCTGTCAATGATCAACTTCATTTAGGGAACTACATCAGTCGACGTCACAGCGCTAGCTGGAGGAAGCAAAACAAAGGGGAATCTGGAGGCGGCCCACTCAAACCAGCGCAGATTCGGCTACATAAGGAGTTTAAAATATCAAACAAATCAAAATGTATTTTTAACATTCATTATACATTTACAGTCAGTTGGTTTATTAATTGACAGTTATTCCATTAGTAGTAGGCTAGAGTCTGCCTGGTTTACCGTAGACTTGCGTAGCCAGGTTTACCAGACTTTAGCTGAGTCAGAATAAACCTCAGCTTGCCCACTTTGACTGGAAGAGGTTGTACAATAGTTATGTCTTGTTCCAGGCAAAGTTCTCTAAAATTCCTTTCTTTCAACCTCAAAGAATTCTAGTCAGTCATACATCATGGTCAAATGAAATCAAAATAAGTCTGTGACTCACTAATACAGTTTCAGTAAGCCGTTGCCATCTTAGACATGACATCATGACGGGGTTTATCAGTCAGTTCCAACTTCCAGCGAAGTCCCAGTGGTTATTTTGATTGTCTTGAGATCCAAATTGTCTCAAACGCACCATTATGGTGTCCAGTGTTGGGGGGTAACGCATTACAAGTAACGCAAGTTACGTAATCAGATTACTTTTTTCAAGTAACTAGTAAAGTAACGCATTACTTTTAAATTTACAAGAGAATATCTGAGTTACTTTTTCAAGTAAGTAACGCAAGTTACTTTTTTTTCCAATTTATTGATTGACAGCTCTGGTGTCGCCATGGTGACAGAAATCAGAAGATGTTACTGTAAAATAAATATGAATATGCATTAACTCATCTCACTCACAAAAAAACAAAAACAAAACAGATTCAGTATTCCTCAAAATGAATACAAATAATGCAACTCAGAATATGACGCAAACCTGCAATAATTAAATGTTAAACAACACAAATATCCTTTATGTATTTAATCCCATTCTATCAACCAATGTCTTTGCTTCTGACCTTCGATGATCCAGTTCAACCATACTAATAAGCAAAAATTACCAAACATTTGTGTGTCTTTTTTTATTGCTGAAGTGTGTTGAAATTTCTTCTTCTGCGTTCTACTGTACAGACATAAATTTACTTTCTCTACAGCCTGAGGCTTATTCATTTCACTTTTGGTGTGAAAAGGCTTTTATATTTGCCAAAACTTTTTTTATGGAGTAACGCTGTAACGGGGCTGACGAGACGTGACACGTGTGGATCCATCTGCAAGCTTTTAATAGAGAGATGTGGTAAACATCTACCAACAGCCGCTTATTGGACCATGCTTATGAATGACATTCCAATTTATTTGTACACATTACATCATTGATTATATTTGTTCTCTATAGAATATGAACATGCCCTTCAGTAAGGCTATAACGTAATATTTAGTGTTTTAGTGCAGTGTCTAAGAAAAGAACACTATTTCACTCACTCAGATGGTATATAGACCTGCACAGATTGTAGTTCTAAAATCTAGCAGAAAATGATATTTTCATGGTTTGCCTCTGTAATTTCTTATGGTCAGCTAGGGTATAGCTATTTGTAATCTATGTTGTAAAAAATAGAAGAAGAAGAAAGGCATTTGAAATCAAATTAAATAGGAATGTTTGCCCTCTGCTGGTCATAATAACAGAACACTGATTTTGTAAAAGTATGAGAACAACCTGTGAGGAAAATGGTTAATTTTGACTGCAAAAAGCCATACTCTTCACTCACTCTTGTCAGACAGTCCACTAGTAATAAAGAATAACATAGCATGCTACATTTAACAATGTTTCCTAATTAGCTCATCATCATTCTGCGTTAACTAAAGGGGAAGTCCCTATAATAATCTATTTAAAATCTATAAATGATTAACATAAAAATATCGCAAACAACCTGCGGTGTTATTTTTAAATTAAACCTCTTTCGGGAATTAAATTGTGACTTTATTATTTTGAACAGCATATATTTTAGTAATTATTCTGACTAGTATACCACTGTGAGCGTCATTCTAAAAAGGTACACTGTAGATTCGGCGAAATAAAATATGTTTTTCAAATAAAAATCAAAGTGTTTCCATTAAAACAGTCCTGAGCTCCTGCAGCACTCAATGGCCCCGCGCATGACGGAAGTCGTCACTGCAAGTCAGTCGCAAATATTCCGACGTTTGCGAGTTTTGTTTGTTAATTTCATGATATAGTTAATTACGTAGCTGCAGTAATCATACGCGGGGTTAGTGTGCAGTCAGTTTGCTCTGGAAATCTGTCCAGCAGTCTAAATATGGTTCTGAAGGGTCGCCGGAAACGACTTTTACTGGCTTAAAGAAATCACATCCGACCTGTGCATCATGAGGATGGCTCGGCGAGTATTCGTGAACATATAACAGCACACTCTCGCCGCCGGAGAGGGGTTATATATTTATGTTTAGCGAGGACTGACAGTTGTAAACGTGAACGCGATATAGGTACTGCTTTATGAAACATGTCTGACTTGCTCTCGATTTAATTGTGTTCGTTTCGGGGGCCTTCGAAACCCTGACATGCATGAGGAGCCTGTCCATTGACATCAGTATGCATAAGACCTAAACGTAAAAAACAGTCGTGAAGTAAATATGAATAATTTCTTTAATGAATTACATGCGAAACGTGTGATGATATTTCCGACGAAACCTGCTCAGTTTCATTCATGCTATTATTCCTTACAAAACACCAGCTGGTGTTTTAATGCATCACTATTTATGTGTATAAAGGGAAATGTATGAGGACGTGTAAACAGTTAAGTACAATTTTGGGCATTGTACCATGGTATTATTGTACGTTTCTTGGAATTGTATGTAAATACCATGGTATATGAATAGAATTTTTCAGTACCATGTTACAAAGTAATCACAATACAATATTAGCATTTCTTGTATTGGAGTGTCATATTGTCATACTTATAAATATACTAATTCAGTGCCATGGTATTACTATCTGAGACCTTACATTTTGTAAATACCATGGTACAATATATACAATACCGATCGTATATGGTAAGACCAAAGAATACAGGTGCATCTCAAAAAATTAGAATGTCGTGGAAATGTTCATTTATTTCAGTAATTCAACTCAAATTGTGAAACTCGTGTATTAAATAAATGCAATGCACTCAGACTGAAGTAGTTTAAGTCTTTGGTTCTTCTAATTGTGATGATTTTGGCTCACATTTCACAAAAACCCACCAATTCACTATCTCAACAAATTAGAATACTTCTAGAGTAATATTAATCTTAACACATTTAATTCATGTTATGACTTAATCGGTTACCTATCTGATGTATTCTGTCCCATCAGTCCCGTTAAAAGATGTTGTCCAATCCTCCGGCTGAACTGAAAGGGACAGAGCAGGTGCCTGCGTCTGCGGCTGGTCCATGCCATCGTGCTGCTCAGTCTTTGCTGTATCAGGAGCAGCTGGCTGTAGGATGCAGAGAAACCAGCAGGGAGGAGATTGAATCTGGTGACAGAACACGATCCTCAGACTTTGGGAAAGGCGTGAAGGAAGTTCATCTGGAGAATGAAGGAGCTCTGAGACAGATGACATTTGATCCAAAAAGTAGTAACTTTGGAGTCGGTCCTAGTTTGACTCGCATGCACATGTGTACTCAGCAAGGTAATGTTGAATGTATGCGATCAAATCTGCAATGTTCACCCCAAGTTTGTTTTTACAAAAGCAAATCATATTTCCCCTTGCTACCTGAGAAGAAACTCCTATGTTAATATTTTGTTTTTAAATTCTATAAAAATTTAAATGTGCAATTTCCTTATTATGCTATGTATCACATTATCATAAACCACCTCTTAGGTGTGTGTTTTATTTTATGCACAAATTAAAAACGTTAGAATAATAAATATATACCTACACTACCGTCCAAACTTTTTAGGTCAATAAGAATTTTTAAAGTTTTTTTATGCTCAAAATGCTGTATTTATTTGATTTGAAAAAAACAGTAAAAACCGTAATATTTTAAAATATTATAAGTCTATTTTAATGAATTTTAAAGTGTATTTTATTCCAGTGATGGCAAAGCTGAATTTTCAGCAGCCATTACTTCAGTCTCCACTGTCACTTGATCCTTCAGAAATCATTCTAATATGCTAATTTGGTCCCAAAGAAACATTTATTATTATAATTTTTTCGAATGTTGATAATAGTTGTGCGGCTTAATACTTCTGTGGACAATGTGGTACTTTTTTCTTCAGGATTATTTGAATAAAAAATTATAATAAATGAACAGAAAGTTAAAAAAGAACAATATTTATTTGAAATGGAAATCTTTTGTAAATGTGTTTACTGTCACCTTTGATCAATTTAATGAATAAAAGTATTAGTTTCATTTAAAGAAAAAAAATCTAACCTGACCCCAAACATTTGAATGGTGAAATATAACAAATATTTAGGCAATATTCCATGATGATTTTTATTGAATAGTTAAATAGATGACAACATTTTTTTGTTAGACATTGCTTAGATTAATAGAAAACGAACATTGCAAAATAATAATACAATAATAAAATACAGAATATAACATAATATACATGTATGTATATAAATAAAAATACAATATAAAATAAAATAACGCAGAAGGGTCTTTCAGGTCTTCCATAGTTTGCTGCCCATTCATTTAGCTTTATTTTATGAAATCTCTACGATTGATGAATTTGTCCTCTGGGTTTTTGTTTTTTTTCCGTCTGCACAGGAGTAGCTTCACAAGTGTGTGCAAGTTTTCCCAAAAGGAACATTGCAGATGTATATTGTAAAATAATTGGTTCCAAGTCTTTTGGTATCGAGTCAAGATGTTACAAAGTGCAGCTTTTAATCAACATCTCCTTTGCAGAGGCCAAGTTTAGGGATCCACGATGGACATCTGCCACCTTCAATTCTGCTCCTCCAGCTGGACCATCAGGAGAGCAGCTTGGAACTCTGGAAAGATTTCTTGTGTCCCATCAAAATGAGATGAAGCGTCTGCTAACTGATACCTTCGGATCTCTTACTCAGCGTCTTGAGGCAATGGAGAGGAGGATGGACCAACTGTGTTCACAAAGCAGTGCACATACCCACAGTTTAGCTCAGCTGCACAGTAAAGTTGGCCAGCTGGGAAGAGACTTGTCCTTTAGCTGTCCAAATACTCCAAGTGTTTCATCAGCTTGCAGTTATGGTAAATGTTCAAGTTAGCATTATAAACACAGTCAGTTAATTTAATTATTATATAACTTGAAGCTAATTTCATATAATCTGAAAGGTCCCAACCCAAATGCTGTGATGAGCAGAGTTTTCTTTCCTGTGTTGATATGAATTTGCAGTGGGGAAAAAATATAACTTTTTTAATAACTAATATCATGTAATTTATTTTAAAGCCATAAACCATGATTTCCTGCTATTGCTTGTCATGGACGGGTGGTATTTGGAAGAGAGGACGTACTTGTTCTAAATTTGGTCCGTTTTCTGGAAGAGAAATTCGTCCAGGTGTTTGCTAAAAGATTATTTAGTAAACTTTTAGGAGTACACTAGAATGGGGGTGACCTTAAATCTAAGCATAGATTAAATTTTGATTTGACTTGTTATTTTGTGCTTGCAGGAGTGGATGCAGACATGCTGCAAGACTACAAAGAAATCATCTCAAATATCTCCTCTCCCGAATCAAAGAAGGACCCTGTGTGTTCTTGGGCAATGTCAACACCTTCCCAGTCCAGCCAAAGTCCCACTCAAAAGCCTGAGGACCTGAGCTGTCAGGATCCAAGTAGAGATTGTAGCAGCTCCAGTTCATCGTGTGGAATTCTAAAAACGTGCCCTTCGGGACAAACTGACAATTGTTTGCAGGGTAACTACTCACCCGTTTCAGATTTTGAAGACCTGGAGATGGAACTGGAAATTGAGAAGGACAGAGTTGCTTTAAACTTATTGGTCGATTCTGTGCTCAGCAGCTCAGATGACAATGACCGCTGGGGACTTCCTTGTAATCAAGAAGTACTGTCCTCTGATAGTGTAGAGAATAATAAATCTGTTCAGGAAGGAGAAGGTACCTTGAATAATCAGTGTTTACCTGTTTCTGAAAAACCTCGGGTGCCTTCCATTCAGTTTCTCAGATCTTCAGCTCCTAGTGGCTTAACGTCAAACACAAATACAGATCATCTTTGTTCATTTTCAAAAGCAATGAAGCTCTCTTGGAAACCAGTGGCATTGACAGATTTCTCTAAAGACGAGTGTGAAAAAAGCCAGCAGCAGTCTTTTAGTCAAAGGACCTTTCCTTTCTCCACTAAGCCACTAGGAGCGCAACCCAACCCTGATAAACCCAAGGGTTGTTCAGTTCAGACTTCTAATAAGAATGAAGACGCGATCTTGGACAAGATCAAAACAAATGGTTTTTTTCACTCTACTATTACTTCACTAAATAATAGTACTTCAGTCTTGGATCACATCCCAGCGTCAAGGTATATAGATGGACTGACAGGGTCAACTGCTGGAGATTCTGACGAGAGCACAAAGATAGGTAATAAGGGACAAAGCGTTGATTGGCAGTACTCAAATGTATCATACTCAAAGGATAGCCCAATAAAACTCCCTTTTCAAGGGTCATCAATCCTGCCATACTGTGAACTTGCTTTATCAAACCAATTAGTAAAAGGTGTAGGTGACCAAAAATCAATGACATTTCAACAAGCACACTCCACTTCCCATCTCTCGGCCCCAAGAAATGGGTCTTCCAAATCATTTTTAGACAGTGATACTAACAAACTGTTGAATCAGCTCTCGGATACTGCCTATCGCTTGGTGTCCAGAAGCTGTTCTTCAAGCGACTTGAATAGATGGACTGGTTGCAGCAGAACTGGATCCAAACTCAAACAATGTGGTGGAAAGAAACCTCACTTTCCTGGATTTCCCGCTCTAAAAGAAGGACAAAGAAAGGGTTTCTCCAACTTTGAGCAGGCAGGAGGGATATCCAAACATTGGCAGCCGATTCTCGAGGACTTGATACTTCCTGTCTCTTCTCGATTTTCTGGTACACAAGCTTGTCATTCAGACGCTTTACCTATCAACCTGGATAAAGACTCTGCGTGTTGTCCTAGCTTATCTCAACTTTTTCGGCCCACCACTCCACCTTTGTCTACTTTAAGCAAAGGGAGCTTCTCTGGGGCAGGTGTTAGTACCGTTCTGGCTTTATCTTCTCCAGCTTCCTTCAGACTGTGGTTTCGACACAGGCGGATCAGCTTTCCTCTTATGCAGTTGACACGTCCTGGTATCCAGACGGTTGTGAGTCAGATTTTGGGAAGGTGCAAGTTTCATCCTTTTCGACCTCTGGTTGACTTTACAGCTCCACCAGGCGTAGACAACGATCACCAGTGAGTTAAAGCTGTTGAAGTTAAAACTTTGTTTTGCATGTTTTGATTGCAAGGAAATTTTATTTACTTAATCAGTGGTGAATGCTAGTTTTTACCTGCATGCTACTTGCACTTACAATTCAACCCATTTTGATCTTTTCATTTATAGCTATATATGCCGATCCAGTCAAGAAGCTACACCCAGCAGGAAAAGAGCTTCAGCACGGTGGGCATATCCCCCTGCATCTTTCGCAATTTAGCCAATCTATTCATTGAAAAAAAAATTATCAGTCTAAAAAATAACTGGTCTGCTAACCAGTTATGGTTCAGTTTGTAGGTGAAGTGCATCATTTTAGCGCAACTGGCAACACAAAACCGAATTGCTGAAAATCATTCCAAACCAATGGAAGTCCGACAGTGGCCAGGCGTCTTTACTATGTTTCGATCTTTTTTTCCTTGAAACTCATTTTGTGGCATCTGTGGGTTTCATGTGTTTGGAATGCAAACATCACTATTATTAATTCAGCTACACCTACAGACGTCAAACTTCAGTGCATTTAGCTACATACATGAATGACAAGCTTGGTGTGTGCTGTTACTTTTCTAAGCGACTGAATGTGCGATTTTTCAGGTATTAAAAAATAAAGCTTGTAGAAGAAGTGACCAATCTAAATCTACAGACAGAGATATCATAGAGATCTGAGGGTGGATTCTTTTGGGGTGGGCCAATAAGAAACCACCCACAACACCCTAGCAACTGCATAGCAACACCCTGGCAGGAACCCAGGACACTGTCCTTACCAAATCCTTTAAGATTTCTAGTGACAATTTGTCTTTCGGATGAGACGTTAAACCGAGGTCCTGACTCTCGGTGGTCATTAAAAATCACCCATTGGCCTCTGACCATCATGGCCTCCTAACAATCCCCATATCTACTGATTGGCTTCATCACTCTGTCTTCATCCTCTCCACCAATAAAGCTGGTGTGTGTGGTGGGCGTTCTGGAGCACTATGGCTGCCGTCGCATCATCCAGGTGGATGCTGCAGACTGGTGGTTGATGAGGAGATACACCCTGACAATGTAGAGCGCTTTAAGTGCTTAGAAAAGCACTATATAAATGTAATGAATTATTATTTATTATTATTATTGTCTGTACACACCAGTTGCGACATATCTACAAGATATGCAAATCAATCACAAATCACAGTCAATCTGAAGAGCATGTGGGTGGGCTCTCTCTCTGCAACCACACTGCTGTCTCACACTTCCAAGGAAATAGATGTTTCCTTTGTTATTTTCCTTTATTATTTCCTTTTCAAGGTCTGAGGTAAATTATCCATTGTCTCTTTAATTATGAATGAATGATGCATTTATATAGCACTTTACTGTGTATTGTTGTACACCCAAAGCGCTTTACAATCATGTGGGGGGGTCTCTTGCTCAACCACCACCAGTGTGCAGCATCCACTTGGATGATGCGACAGCAGCCACAGGACATCAGCGCCAGTGCGCTCACCACACACCAGCTACAGGTGGAGAGGAGAGAAAGTCATAGAGCCAATCAAGTGGATGGGGATTATTAGGAGGCCATGATTGACAAGGGCCAGGGGGGCAATTTGGCCAGGGGTTACACCCCTACTCTTTTACGAGAAGTGCCATGGGATTTTTAATGACCACAGAGAGTCAGAACCACGGTTTAACGTCTCATCCGAAAGACGGTGCTTTTTGACAGTATAGTGTCCCCGTCACTACACTGGGGCGTTAGGACCCACACAGACCACAGAGTGAGCACCCCCTGCTGGCCTCACTAACACCTCTTCCAGCAGCAACCTAGTTTTCCCAAGAGGTCTCCCATCCAGGTATTGACCAGGCTCAGCCCTGCTTAGCTTCAGTGGGTAACCAGTCTTGGGCTGCAGGGTGATATGGCTGTGGCATATCACCCTGCTGTCATATCACATGGCTGTTAAAGTCATGCAAAATGATATTTAAAACCAAATTTCTGTACAAAACACAGTTAATACCAGAGGTGTCACTCATGATAGAAACTGTTACAAAATTAGAATCCCGTCGCTCGTTGTGTATCGCTAACATGGCTGGTTACATCAAAAACTTTATTAATATGAAAAAGACGTTATTCGTATTGCAGCATTGCATTGTAAAATGTAAACAAAATCTAGTTTTTCCATTCAGTTTCGTGCTGCTAGTGGTGCAGAAATTACTCACTTCACCTTAAAGTGATCTTCTCACTCTCAGAAATAAAGGTACAGCAGCTGTCACTGGGGAGGTACCTTTTCAAAAGTTACTTATTTGAACCTAAAGGGTCCATTTTGGTATCTTAAAGGTACATATTGGTACTTAAAGTGTACATATTAGAACCTAATAGTTACAAAAGTGTACCTTTTGAAAAGGTACTGCCCCAGTGACAGCTGTTGTACCTTTATTTCTGTCTTTTAAAACATTCTGTCATGATTGTTGTCAGATTTGAAGCATGAAGCCAATCCAATTTTACAAACCACAGATATCTGCACTTCTAAGCTGATCATTTAATCATGTAGATGTTGACTGATGTTGTATTAGCAATCACCTGGTATTCTCTAAAATGCTTGCTTGCTTTCACTGTGTGTAGGAAAGCCACCTCATCTTCATCAGTGTGTCATCTGTCAAAAATTAGTTTCACACCAGAAAGGAGTCTGGATCACTCTTCTCGGCACACCATCAGCCCCAAGTCTGTGCGATTGGATGAATCCGCTACTGAATCTGTGCCTAGTTTTGCTATTGCCAGTGCAAATGTCAAATACCCTGGTTTACACAGTCGGGTGGCATCAACAGAAATGAACCAGGTATTATATATATCATCTCTTGTAGCATTTGAACAAACAGTGAAAGAAGGAAGAATGAAAGCTGGTGAAAGTGTTTGGATTTTCAGACATGAAAGATTTCACATTCCAGTTTCCTCAAGGCTGGACATTCATCTTTCTTGTAGGTGGAACTCTACGACACTAATGCTGAAGCTCAAGGAGGTCAACGTTCCAAAAGGGTCTCCCAAATTCGTATTCGTAAGACAGTTCCCAAACCAGATAACAACCTTACTCCAATGGGACTCCCCAAACCAAAGAGGTCTGCTTTAGTCTTTACAATAAATTTTGATGTGGAATCTGATTAGAACTGGCTGATATGTAAATATTAGACTTTTTGCTAGAATTCTTGTGATTAATGTATATTTTTCTATATATTTTTTTTCATTATTCAGAGGAACCATCATTTGTCACAACAAAAGATGCAAATGCAAAACTGGTCTTAGGAATCTTAAAGGAACACTCCACTATTTTTGAAAATAGGCTCATTTTCCAACTCCCCTAGAGTTAAACAGTTGAGTTTTACCGTTTTCGAATCCATTCAGCCGATCTCCGGGTCTGGCGGTAGCACTTTTAACTGTAGCTTAGCATAGATCATTGAATCTGATTAGACCGTTAGCATCTCGCTCAAAAATGAGCAAAGAGTTTCTATATTTTTCCTATTTAAAACTTGACTCTTCTGTAGTTACATCGTGTAATAAGACCGACGGAAAATGAAAAGTTGCGATTTTCTATGGCTAGGAACTATACTCTCATTCCGGCGTAATAATCAAGGAACTTTGCTGCCGTACCATGCTAAATTAAAAGTGCTTGAAAATTGCTGTGATACTTACAACATTGGTTAAAACATATCATAAATATTCGTTCACCTTTAAAACATTCTGTTTTGTGTCCCACAAGGCTGAAGAAAAAGGAATTCAGTTTGGAGGAGATTTATACCAACAAGAATTACAAGTCTCCAGCCCCTAACAGGTTTGTTTTTGCTATTTTTATCAATCAGTTTATTTTTTTACTCTTTGTGTTAATCTGGAAGTCATTTTCTGATTCTGATTTTCACTTATGCAGAAGCCTAGAGACGATATTCGAAGAACCAAAAGAGAAGAATGGCTCTTTGGTATGTATTGGTCATCAGAAACGAAAGCGAGTTCTAGACTTCCCAGATTTCACACTGCCTCGCAAGCGCAAGGCTAAAACGAACCTGGGTCCACTGCGTGTGAAAGGACCACGAGGACGGGCTCGTAGGGGTAGACAGGACAACGCTGACCTTGATGTATTGCTAATCGAGAAGCTCACAGAGCTGGAAGACTACTTCTCTCACCAAGGCCTGGAGGTTTAAGCTCAGTTTTTCACAAATCTTTATTCTCGGTTACCAAAAATGTTGGTTTTAATCTTTTTGCCTGAACAAGGAAAGAATTTGAGCTTGTTCAGCCATCGTTGTTCAAAGAGCGTTTAGCAATAGAGGGAAAAGAACACTTTCTTGTAGCATTTACAGTTGAGACTTAAGAGTGTGTGAAGTGGACTGACCCAAAAGACATTTGAGCAATGAGCGTGTGTGTGTGTGTGTGTGTGTGTGTGTAATATAAGCACATTATAGTAAACCTTCACTTGAGCACTTTCTGTATCCTCACAATGTGACTGCTGCAACCTAGTTGTGTTGTGTTTCTCTTGCATTTGCAACATGTTGCTTACCAACACGCTCCTAACTGTCGTTTTCTGGCAAAAAAAAGAGAAATAATGATTGATTGTGTGGTTTAAGCCCTTCAAGGTCTCTTAAAAACAAGGAGATGTTCATTCTTGACTACTAATGACATCTGAAAGTGCTTTCTAAATGAAAATGCCGAGGGATTTGCTGCCAAAAACAAGAATACGAAAATACGAATATTCTTTTAAATATTCTAAGGTACGGTGCAGTGTTTGATCACTATATTCTTGCGAGATGTTCTAAAATTCTTAATGCATTTCACCATAGAAATAATTCTTTACTTTGTGTTTCTGTATTTGTTGTTCTTGCAGGGCTGTCATGAATTAGCCAGTTTTGAAATGGGATTTCCCTCAACCTTCTCACCTTTAGCTGCTAGACTTTTAAATTGAACTTCTTCAGCTGTTTGACATTGTTTTGAAAATCACTAAATGAATCATTTATTCACCCTTCATGTCATTCCAAACCTGTATGACTTTCTTCTTCAGAATGCAAAAAGATAAAAATGTCCATATAATGAAAGGTAATGGAACCCAATGTTGTCATTTGGACAAAAACAGTTGCAACATACTTCAAAATATCTTCTTTTGTGCTCCACAGAACCAAGTAAATCTTGCAGGATTGGAATGACATGAGGGTGAGGAATTAATGACAGAAATTCAGTTTTAAGAAAACTGTCCCCTAAGGTTTTTTGGTTTATATAGCTAAGAGAACATTCTGAGTTATGGAATACATGTTTGCCGTGAATCTATGGTTCTTTTTTGCTGGCTTAATATCTGGTTGACATTAGGGAAGCGTTTGGTTAGATCCACCTTCCACATTTCTGATCTGATATTTACTGGGTGTTATATGCAGCTAATTAAGTGATGAGCTGGCCAGATTAGACATATTTTTAGTTTTAGTTTTATCATTCCATTGTGCGATATACTGCCACAAAGTTCTCATATCTTGATGATGAAACTAAGGTAACATTTTTTGTTTTGATGTGGTGTATTGTCTTTTTTTTAATACAAAGCTTTTACAATCAATTGTAATTAACCTTGGACCTATTACCTATAGCTTTGAAAGTCTATCATCTGCACTTGACCCCCAAATAATCTGAGCCTTTGCCCGGCGAGCATCTCTGTGCCAGTATGTGATCGAAATGTGCTTACAATGCAACCTATAGACATGTATTGTCTCTTTCAATCACTTTGAACTGTTAGAATTGTACTCGCAGGCCCAAATGTAAAAAAGGCTGATGTGTGTTTACGCAGCTCTGTTGGTGGAACCAGTTGTTAGATCTTTTTTTTTCTTACTACACATACAGTGTTACAGAAACCGCTGCTGTTGTGCTTCTCTTTGAGCTCACCAGCAGATCAACACTAAGTATTGCTTGAGTGCTGTCAATCAATGTGATTATATATATATATATACAGTATATATATATATATTTTATGAATAAAAATAGTGTTAACTACGAGTCAGTGTCATGCTTGGATGGTTTACTCAAATCACAATAATTTATCTTTTTTAAAAGGTGAATACTAAAAATGAGAATATTAATATCAAATAAATAAAAATAAAAAGTCAACAAAAATGAAAAAAAATAAGCAATAAAATAAAGAAAAAAACATTTATTTTAACTTACATTTAAATACATTTTCTTTATAATCTTTCTTTGTCATGTTGATGTTCCTGAAAGTGTAAAGCAAACAACAAAAACTAAAACAGCAATAACTTTTTTTCTTGTTTGTTTTAATTTATTTTTGTACATGGCAATGTGACCATACCATGGTTTTTGGACATTTAATATAATAGTACTAACCTAGTAATCTGGATTATGTAATCAGAATCCCAAAAATTATGTACTTGTAATTAGATTATAATACATTTTTAAATACTTTTTTATTGATTACATGATTACATTATTCACACAATAGCGATAAATTATTCATAATTTATTTATTCTCACTAATTCTTTCCTAAATCTTTTAAATTTTCCTTTCTAAATAGCCTACTGCTTACATACATTCAGAAACTCTTCTAGTTTTGTGGGAATTCACACAAAGACCAGTCACTGCTCCGAAAACTGAGAGGCCACACACTACATTTGACCACTGGATTTACAGAAAGTGTTTCTGAACATTTCAACATTGTGCCAACTACTGACTACTTCGGTCACAGGACATGTAAACAAATAATATATTTAATATTTTTTTAAATGAGTGTTTTATTTTGATTGTTGTTATTTTAAAATGATTTAATTTTGCATTTTTATGATTTAACTAATTATTAGCCTTTCATTAAATTCTCAAATCCCCTGCAGTTCCTTCTCGAACCCCAGTTTGGGAAACCTTGACATAATGTAATAACTTAATGCACTTCATATTGTTCATAACAGTGAATTGAATATATTTAAATCAATGTGATAAATTAATTAAGGTAAAAGTAATCTGATTATATTACCAAAAAATGTGTAATGTAGTGGATTATGTTACTAACTACAATTTTTGTCCTGTAATTTGGAATCAGTAATGGACTTGTAAGTAATCTACCCAGCACGAATGGTACCAACTAAATATTTACACTTTTATTTATTTCCTTTTTTAGTTTGTTTTAAATGTGATATTTGTTTATTTTCTAATTGATTTAAAGGGATAGTTCACCCAAAAATGAAAATTCTGTCATCATTTACTCATGCCATTGACTTCCATAGTAGGAAAAAAAAATACTATGGAAGTCAATGGCAACCACCAACTGTTTGATTACCAGCAATCTTCAACCGTGTTGGGGGTAACGCATTACAAGTAACGCGAGTTACGTAATCTGATTACTTTTTTCAAGTAACTAGTAAAGTAATGCATTACTTTTAAATTTACAAGAGAATATCTGAGTTCCTTTTTCAAATAAGTAATGCAAGTTACTTTTTTTCCCAATTTATTGATTGACAGTTCTGGTGTCGCCATGGTGACAGAAATCAGAAGATGTAACTGTAGTTCTAAAATAAATATGAATATGCATTAATTCATCTCACTCAAAAAACAAAAAAAAACAAACACAGATTCAGTATTCCTCAAAATGAATAAAAATAATGCAACTCAGAATATGACGCAAACCTGCAATAATTAAATGTTAAACAACACAAATATCCTTTATGTATTTAATCCCGTTCTATTAACCAATCTCTTTGCTTCTGACCTTCGATGATCCAGTTCAACCGTACTAATAAGCAAAAATTACTCTAGACTCTTTTTTTATTGCTGAAGTATGTTGAAGTTTCTTCTTCTACGTTCTACTGTACGGACGTAAACTTACTTTTTACTTCAGCCTGAGGCTTAAGGCCCGTTCACACCAAGCACGATAACTATAAAGATAACGATAACGATATAGTTCTAAAAATCGTTCTCAATATTAAAGAATAGCAAAGTTCACACCACAACTATAACGATAACGATACAGAGGAACGATATCGTTGTGATCGCTTTCAAAACGATTTTTTTCCAGCTGATGAACGATAAAACACTGACAGCCAATCAGAATCCATCCTGCTGTCACGAGCTCGAGAATTTAAAGCGGCAGACGCGCGTGCGCTTAGAATAAACAGACGATATCGTTCGCTGGTGTGGACGCTAATATCGTTATTTTATAGTTATCGTTCTTGGTGTGAACGGGGTTTTATTCATTTCACTTTTTGGTGTGAAAAGGCTTTTATATTTGCCAAAAATAGAACTTTTTTATTTGAAAAACTAACAAGCAAGCCCTGTCCAGATTTAAAAAGTAACGCAAAAGTAACGTAACGCAGAACTTTCCATAAAAAGTAACTAAGTAACGTAATTAGTTACTTTTTTTTATGGAGTAACGCAATATTGTAACGCATTACTTTTAAAAGTAACTTTCCCCAACACCGATCTTCAAAATATCTTCTTTTGTGTTCAACATAAGAAAGCAACTCATACAGGTTTGGAACGACATGAGGGTGAGTAAATGATGACAGAATTTTTCATTTTTGGGTGCACTATCCCTTTAAGTTCTATTTATTTTCGTAACATTAGGGCTTCGAGTCAAGGGCTGTGGTAATGAACCCTCCATTCCGGTAGATGGCGGAAGTGCGTCTTGTCAAGGACGGGAACACGGAGGCTCTGTAACCGCGTGAAAGCATCATGGCAGCGCTCGTACGCAGACTGTTTATTACCCGCCTGACAGGGACAGGCAAGAGCAGGTAATTGTGTCATGTCATTTTGGGATGTCGTGAAATAATCTCAATTACATTAGACCTTCTGAAGCTAATGCTAGCATCTTCATGTGTTGGCTTCATTAGCCCGTGAAGTCTGACTGGCGAACCTGTCGAGACGAGTTGATCTCGGAGCCTAGTTACACAATCAGCTGAAGCACTGCAGCATTAGCACATGAGCTGGGACAAGCCCTTTCTTAGCTTAGGAGAACCTTTCTAGCAAGTTGGCCCGTATGATTTGTTGTTTTTTAACTACGAGGCCCAGTTAAGTGAATACAAGACGTGACTGCTAGTTACATATTTAAATGTCTATATCAGCTGGGCGGATTTCAAGGTGAAATATTCATTCATTCTCTTCAGTAATGTTTCATTACTTCAGACTTCTAAATGGCGACATTCTTTTAAGTTATTCATATCGAGATGCTTAGAAATGCACATGTCGGTAATGTAGTTCTCGAGTGTTTTTCAGTTGTGATGTGAATTGTCTTGTTTGCAGTTTTCTGCAGCACAGTGGCTTCGGTGTCAGACGGAGTCAACAGAGGTTATTTTCAAAAGGTCAGTCACATTTACAAAGTATTTTTGTCCATATTCAACGCTCCCACAGACGTTTTTTATGCGCCACTGCACAATTCCGCATTTTAGACAAACTTGCGCAACGTTACGCTAAAAGCTTCATAAGAGACTTTAGGTGACACCGCTACGCCTTTATATCAATATATATATATATATATGTGTGTGTGTGTGTGTGTATGTATGTATCACACCAGAGCTGGGTAGATAACTTATTAATTGTAATCTGTTACTGGTCCTAAATTACAGGACAAAAATTGTAGTTAGTAACGTAATCCATTACATTACACATTTCAGGTAATGTAATCAGACTACTTTAAGATTACTTTTAGGTTACTTTTGACCTAACTTGATTATCACATTGATTTAAATAGGATAATCTTGTACCATATTGATATAAAAATACAAAGAGTTCAAAAAAAATGTATTCCATTCGTTGAAATTAACAACAGTAAGTGCGTTAAACATTGCATAACGTCTGGGGTTTGTAAAGGCACTGCAGGGGCTTTGTGAGTTTAATGAAAAGTTAGTCATTAATTAAATCAAAAAAATGTAATATTAAAATAAATCATTTAAAAATAACATAAAAAGAAATGAAACACTTCCTAAAAAAAATTGTTTATGATCATTAACCAATGTCAAGAGAACCGTGAACATGCAAATGTGATACTCAATTATTAAATATTTATTTTAAAATCTCATGGGTGCTTCAACTAAATACAGGTGCATCTCAATAAATTAGAATGTCGTGGAAAAGTTCATTTATTTCAGTAGTTCAACTCAAATTGTGAAACTCGTGTATTAAGTAAATTCAGTGCACGCAGACTGAAGTAGTTTAAGTCTTTGGTTCTTTTAATTGTGATGATTTTGGCAAAAACATTTAACATTTTAACAAAAACCCACCAATTCACTATCTCAACTAATTAGAATATGGTGACATCAGCTAATCAACTCAAAACACCTGCAAAGGTTTCCTGAACCTTCAAAATGGTCTCTCAGTTTGGTTCACTAGGCTACACAAACATGGGGAAGACTGCTGATCTGACAGTTGTCCAGAAGACAATCATTGACACCCTTCACAAGGAGGGTAAGCCACAAACATTCATTGCCAAAGAAGCTGGCTGTTCACAGAGTGCTGTATCAAGTGCAGTGACGTTGGATTACATCTAATCGGTTAAACTACTTCAGTCTGTGTGCATTGAATTTATTTAATACACAAGTTTCGCAATTTGAGTTGAATTACTGAAATAAATGGACTTTTGCACGACATTCTAATTTATTGAGATGCACCTGTATAAAGATGTTCAGATGACAATAATGTTCGGGAATGCCTGCATTACGTGTAAATAAGAAATAATGCGTTTTAATGTGTTTGAAAGACAAAAGCCTTCAAAAGACATTGTAATAAATGGTATCACTGAGTGATAATTCAAATAAACATGAATGTTTTCATCAGTAGTTGGTGCAATGTTGAAAACACCTGAAATGATTTGTGTAAATCCAGTATTCAAATGCTGTGTGGCTTCTTAATTATCTGTGTAATTACAGCCACCTGAATATTGACTGATCTTTGTGTGAATGTCCTCAAAACTGGAA